AATTCAGAAGAAATAGAAGAGCCTGAAGGGGGATCGATGGCAACTTACATCACAGTTCCTATTGCTCAGAAAGTCTTGGGATTTTTATCTGCCTTCACTGCGCCAGTGCTCCACCCAGCCACCTTCATCCTAAATTTTGCCTTCCTCCCAGTTGAGAAACAATCCCTGTGCTTTCAGCTTGCACCTGGAGAGCAAGCAACCTTAATGCCACGGAGAGATGGGGCAAACCAGTGGTTGGTGATGGTTTCGTGGTCCGTGGCTACCCACAAATCACAAGCTATGATGAACAAAAACAAAGAAGTTTGTGGTTAGTTTTTCAGTTTCATGCCTGAAAAACTGATCTGTGGACAGGGATCATCTGGGAAATCCTGGTAGATATCAGAAGGATTCCTGCCTGAACCTTTGGAGGCATATTTCCATTCATAGTTGCCAGTGGACCAGGTGGGGCTCAATCAATGGTTCTTAAACTCAGATGTTCTTTAACAAAAACTCCCAGAAGCCTTCATCGCTAGAACACCTGGGGACCCAAGGCTGAGAATTGTTGCCTTAAAATAACACACCTTCAGTCACTGGCATTTGGCAAATGTCCCCATTTACATAAGGACAGAAGCCATAGCTTGCAGGTACATAGCCATGTGCTCAGGAACAACAACATGCTGTGTTACTTTTTTCTTGCTACATCTGTAACAGCACTGCTGTATCAGAAGAAATCATAAAGTGCCACCGTGTAGCTTTTCCAGACGAGCAACTTTTCTGAAAATGGCCATACAGAGTTATAGCTAATTCATTTTCCTCACTCCGACCTGATGACTATAACTCATTATAGCATTTTATTGATCAGCTCAGCTGTGTTCGTCCTTAAAGGAAAGCACATTCAATAACATTCAATATTACATTTTTATTACACTTGAGCTGCTCGGTTCGCCCATGAATTTCCGTTCTTTGGTTTCCCTCTGAGATGGCTGCCAACATTCTTGAAGGAAAAGAGAACAAAAACGAAACAAAAATAAATGTTTCTATGATCAAAATGTTATGCAGAGCATATCTGCATAGCTGATGGCACACCTGTTCATTCTACAGTTTGGCCAGCCCAACACGGATGCCTTTTTTTAAAGCAAAGCAAAATGAATTGCAGTCCTTAAATCTGGGCTGATGTCTCTTGGAACCTAACTTTTAAAGGCATTTTTAACAAACAAACAAACAAAAAAGTGGGGTTCACAATCTCAGCAAGCTGTGGGAGAAATTTGCCAGAATGTGCCAAGATTACCTGGTGAAAGATCTCTTCCATTTCGCTTTTCCATTCAGGAAAAGGACAGAAAAGGCCATAGGTAACTGTGGATTCAATGCAGTATTTAACTGTAGCACTGACAATGAAGAAATTCAGAGATTTCATATATTTCATGTCAATCCAAATGGAGACAGCAGCCAAGAAATTAGAAGAAGACTGAATCTAGGAAGGGCAGCAATGAAGGAATTAGAAAAGATCCTCAAGTGTAAGGATGTGTCACTAGAGACTAATACCAAGGTCGTCCACATTCTTGCATTTCCAATCACCATGCATGAGCATGAAAGCTGGACACTTAAGAAAGTGGACATGTGTCACTAGAGACTAATACCAAGGTCGTCCACATTCTTGCATTTCCAATCACCATGCATGAGCGTAAAAGCTGGACAAAGTGGTCAAGGAAAAAAAATGATTTGTTTCAAATGTGGTTCTGGAGGAGAGCTTTGTGGATGCTCTGGACTCCCAGAAAGACAAACAAGTGGGTCCTAGATCAGATGTTCTGTTAGGTCACCCATCAAAAAGGTTGAAGCTGAGGCTGTCCTATTTGGGGCACATCACGAGAAGGGAGGATTCTCTGGAAAAGACAATAATGCTGGGAAAGGTGGAAGGCAGCAGGAAAAGAGAAAGATCAAATACAGGATGGGCACTACCACAGCTTTACAAGAACTGAATAGGGTTGCTAAGGACAGGACATGGGAAAGATCTCTCAAAAAAGTGTAGTGTTCCCACTTGAAACACTAGTAAGTACAGAACGAACCAACTGCAAACATTAGAACTCAAAACATGGAGAAAAAGTAGCCACAACATGTCTTTTTTCAGTATTGAACTCCCTGATATAAAGATACGTTAGACATTCTGTTAGGTCACCCATCAGAGTCGTCATTGTGCTGTTCATTCTGAAACGGATCGCCCCCACCACAATGTTTATTGGCTGGACACCTCAGTGATTTAAGGACCTGACTCTGGAGCCAGAGGTTAGGGGTTCAATTCCCCATTGTGCCTCCAGGGAGTAGAGCCAGCTTGTGTAGCCTTGGGCAAAACTATTTCTGAGTACTCTATATCTGGAAAACCCCGGGAAGGGTCACCATAAGTCAGAAATGACTTGACAGCACATGATGATTAATTATTATTAATTTGCATTGAGAAAGAGTCTCTGCGTCCTGGCCTCAAAAACGTGTCCCTGCAGCAAACTGGATGCACGAGGAAGCCTCTCCTCCTCACTCTCTTTCCTTTCATCTCTTCCTTTGCTCTTCCTGTATCAATCAGCTCCTTTTTTAACTGTATTTTTTTTATCCCTTATCTGTCCACCTGTAAGCATTGTGATTCAAGAGCAGACTTTGCCTCTTGAAATGGAAGGATATTCCAAAGAAGAGTCTGATAAAAAAGGGTTTTGTGGTGGACAAATACGGAGCAGCTGATAAACATCTCTAAGTGCCTTGCCCTTCAAATTTAATATAAAAGGGAAAGGGGGGGAAGAGACACATTGAGTGCTCTCCTCCTTTCCCTGCCAGATGTAGTTTCTTGTTTCTCACAAATCTATAGAGCACTCCAATCCACTATCTGTCCTTGCACTGTGAGAACACTAACCACCACAAACCTACATAGGCGATTTTTATTGGAGTTTTTGAAAACTTGCGTGCTGCCTCTAGTAGGTTTAGCTAGGAGGGACCTTTCTGGATTGGGGTGATTGTCAATCTATCCAGCACTAACCAATTGTTCACTCTCTGACTCTGAATTCAAAGAGTTCCCCACCTCTGTTCATTCCCCCCATTCCTGTTGCCTGTTGGAAGACAGTCTGTTGCAGGCTGTAGCTGCAAGTAATCATAATTGTTCTGAGTTTGCTATTTGATCTGCAAGAAATGAAACCTCTTATTCTTTCTTCTACTAATGTCTCAGATTGAATTATTGAGACTATAAGTGCCAGTTGATGAGAAAAAAAGGGGGTGACTCTAGGGAACTTACAAATATTTTGCTCTGTGAGCCTCTGCACTTCTGTTATGCAGCTTTAGGTGTTTTACCAGAAATTCAAAAATGTGAAACAAATTTGTGGACAATATGCAATTTCCAAACATACTAACCAGCGGTTCCCTAACCTCTCCCTCTTTTGGAGAAACCTTCATGACTCTCCACTTCCCCACGTCCTTTATTATCATTCATTCCCCATTTTAACAAAGCTAAACGTAAAAACAAATAAGAATCTTAAGTTAGAATTTTAAAACACACAAACGCACAGACACAGACAAATATAACAGAAGTGGCTTCATATTGAAACTGGGCCCCAATAACTCCGCCTTCTCAAAAACAGTTAATAAAAATGTAATTTAGATTATGAATTAATGGAAGCAAAGGAGATTTAACATGAAGAATGCTGCTCCATCTTAAAGTCTTATCCTCCCCATCCCCCAATTGGGATGTCTTTGCTCTTAACCAGGGGTAATCCCCTCTCCAATTTGAGAACCAATGATGTAAAGGGTCTATGAAAATCATGACTATCATTTGCTTTACTGTCCTGCAGGTTCATTCATCCTTGGGTTCCATTTCTCCCCCTAAGTTCAAGCTCATCTACAGATTAGGCATAAGATATATAAGGTCACTGATTCCTCTAACTCAGTCTTCTCTCCATCAACCTCTCTAGGTCAGCCAAGGGTAGTGACTCTGAATTTTGTGGGAGTGAATTTTATGAGATGAAATAGGTCAGCCAAGGGTAGTGACTCTGAATTTTATGGGAATGAATTTTATGTGAGACTATGGTTGGACAGTGTCAACATGAATTTGACCCAACTCCAGGAGGCAGTAGAAGACAGGAGGGCCTAGTGTGCTCTGGTCCATGGGGTCACAAAGAGTCGGACACGACTTAATGACTAAACAGCAACAACAAAAAATCCACACAGGCTTTTAGTCAGGGTCGGACACGACTTAATGACTAAACAGCAGCAACAAAAAATCCACGCCGGCTTTTAGTACTGAATTTAAAGAAACTATCCAGGTTTTGAACCTACTCTGCACATAGGGTTCAGGACGTTGGAGAAATTCCAGTAACGTTTGGATTAAAACTTTGAGCAGACCCACTGCCTCCCCCTCCACAAATTCAGAGCCACCGGCTTCCATTTGACGACTTAATGACTAAACAGCAGCAACAAAAAATCCACGCCGGCTTTTAGTACTGAATTTAAAGAAACTATCCAGGTTTTGAACCTACTCTGCACATAGGGTTCAGGACGTTGGAGAAATTCCAGTAACGTTTGGATTAAAACTTTGAGCAGACCCACTGCCTCCCCCTCCACAAATTCAGAGCCACCGGCTTCCATTTGTCTAGATTTTAGACAGGGGTCTTCCCGGCGCTGCCACCTGAAACTTGACAGGGAAGCCTTTTATATGTGAAGAACGTATTTTACTTTGAATCTATGGCCAGAAGAGTGGAGAACAGCATAGATCAAATCAAGGCATTGAACATGGCTGTAAGCTATACATGAAAAATGCTCTAGGTAAAATGTGGAGATATATATTTTTAATTGCCAATATATATATTTTGGAGGTAAAAACTACATGGCCCAGATGTCCAAATTCCCTGGAGAAATTTCAGAAGCCTACCGATCCCAAATACCTAAATAAACAAACCTACTCTGTCCCATCGGCGGAAGACACAGATAGCGCTGGAGATGACACAAAGCAAAGTATAGCAAGACGTATAAAACCAGTGTCTTTCTTTACTCACTCTGCCCACAGTTCTTGGAAACGGAGGTCTCTGATTTTCAGGGATTAAGATCGGGGTTGCCACAATAGACCTCCTTTGCCGTACAATGCCAGCGCTGCCTTCTGTTTTAAAGATTTCCTAAAGAAAGAAAGAATAATGAGATTAATTAGCCTCTGGCTTCTGAAGACAGCACCATTTATTATCCTTCTCGGGCACATTTTTACTTCTAAATAAAAGCGTCCGCGAACCACAGTCTTACAAATAGACTTTCTTAACCTTCATTAAGTGCAGAAGCAGTGTTAGTTCAAGATGTGGGGAATCAGCCTTGTGATTGATGAAGATCGTCATTAAACTCCTTCCCATGAAATCTTCAGGATGGTTCTGCTTACGATGAAGTCAACAAGCACTGACAACTTCACCCTCACCTTGGATTTTTCCAACCACAGAATGGCAGCAAAGCAGTCACAGACAGAACTGCCCCCAGTTTAGCTCTTCTGAAAGTTGGTGGAGGGGTGAATAAGTTTTATCCCACTTTCTTTCTGTTATAAGCCTTCTTCAGATTATTCATGTTTGACATGGGAAAAACCTGAGAGTTAAAATGAAAAATTCAGTGGAGAGAGCCACCAAGATGGACAGATTCATCCACCCATATGTAGGCCTTTGCATGCTCAATTCTTACATATTTTTTTTAAAAAAATGTATACTGAACTGATCTTTGCTTTAATATTGCCTGTTAATGGATGAAATATATCTCCTTATTCATTGTTTATAATTTTTAAATATTGCATTTTAATAGTGTTAATGACAATTATATACTCCTTGTTTTCAACTTTAAACTTTGCCCTTCTTTTCAAGAAGAGTGGAGTAAAAATATTTTAAATAAATAAATGTACCCACATTTTCAAGGGTGCCAACACTGCACTGCAGTTACTACTTTCCCCTCACCTTCTTTAACACCAATATGGTAAGTAGATACCATATGGTCTTCTCCACACTGAAGACATCTCCACTGCAGATAGCAGGAGAAAATTTAAAAAAAAAATTGTAAGAACTTAGCAAAATATGCAAGTTTCTGGATATTCAGGGCAGTAAGTACTAGGGATTTTAAAGAATCTGATTGTGTCATAAAGTGAGACTGACAGATTTTTGTCAGTCTGTACGTTTGGTAAATCCACCCGAATGCTTAATCCCTGTCCATCTTCTGACCACTGCTTTCATTATTTCTTCCCCTACCCTACAAGACATTTGAGTCTATGGGTTTTGTTTTACTTCGTTTTTCATTTTCTGTCCCCACAAGGATCTGGACCTAAAAAAAAATCCATGAGGAAGGGCAAGACAAATATATAGTGCAACCTCACTGAAGGAGGCTTTCAAATCCATTTACAACAGTCAACACAGACAGAAGGGCTTGGCTGCTGTGTATTCGTGGCATAGGTTGACAAGAATGACAAAAATCAAACTTCAATGTTCTTGGAGCGACAGCATTGTTTTTCTTCCCTGACATCAAGCAAAGCATAGCAGCAGCAGCAGCAACAACATCCACTCTTGTGAATTCCTGGGAGTGAATCCAGAACTGCTTGCATGCATACACTACTAATTATCTTAAAAAGACTGTAACACCATTGTAAGTGCTGGCAAGAATAATCTCCCCGTGGACTCAAGATACAAACTGCACAATCAGACACGACAGATGCGAACACCTGTTGATATATTTAGACGTACCTCCCGATTTCTTTATCAATAGCATAGCAACGCTAGACCATTTCAAAGCTTTTGGAAAAAAACACATGTGATTTCATTATTCAAATTGGAGCTGTGGAGAAATCGTGGCTATGGCTCATTTGTGGCCAAGCATGTACCGCAGGGGGAGACCACCAATTGAGGGATTCTCCAGACCTGATAAAGACTCCTCGTCTCCATCATTACAGCGGGACAACGTGCTTTTAAAAATTGCATGTACCACATTTCATGCAAAAATGCGACAGCACAAAAACTGCTTCCTTTCACTGAAGCACAAAAGAAAGGCAGAAAGGCTGAGTCATACAAAATACATGAACAACCCACCCAGTCTTATACATGCTGATTTATGCGAGAAAACACTACCATGTCCCAGAAAGCATATTTTACCGGGGGTGTGTGTTCTCTTTCTGGTCAACACACAATATTCTCACAACAAGGAGATATCCCTCCCTTTCTCATTTACCAAGTCATGTTCTACATCCTTATTTCAAATATGCAAATGGAATCAATAATGTTAGGTGTGGCTCCATTTTGTTTAAAACATGAACATGAAAGAGGGTAACTGGCAAGAGGAAGTTCATCAAGGAGGATTTTTAATGAACTCTTTCTTGGTTTTGTGCTTTGTGTACCTGTGTTCTCCTTGCAGTTACATGTTCCCAAAGGAACGTGTAATCAGAGCTCACAGAGGTGTCTAAATGGCAACATGCAGTCATGCAACCCATCAGACTGTGAGGGTGGCATAATGCAATACTTTCCTGCTCTTACTTTAAATGCACAGATAATTTCCCTTCATTTTTCAGCCTTTCTGAACAATCATTAACATAAGAGTTCTCATAGTAACACACTATCAGGTACAGTGGTGCCTCACTAGACAGTTACCCCGCATGACAGTTTTTTCACTAGACATTGACTTTTTGCGATCGCTATAGAGATTCGCAAAACAGTGATTCCTATGGGGGAATTTCGCTGGACAATGTTTGTTCCCTGCTTCGGAAACCGATTTTCGCTAGACAACGATTTTGACGGCCCCCTCCGCGCTCGCAAAACGGGTGTTTTTGGGACCTAAGCTTCGCAAGACAGCGATTTAAACAGCTGATTGGCAGTTCGCAAAGCGGCTTTCCTATGGCCAATCTTCGCTAGACAACGACGATTCTTCCCCTTTGGAACACATTAAACAGGTTTCAATGCATTCCAGTGGGGAAATGCTTTTCGCTAGACGATGATTTCGCAAAACAGTGATTTCAGTGAAACGGATTATCATCATCTAGCGAGGCACCACTGTATCTCTTCCCACCCAACCCCCAAAAATCATTGCAGACCCACTATGATGGACAGGACAGAAGCACAATGTTCATTCCTTATACTTCTGTTGATTTTTTTGTAGAAAACAAGCTTATCTATGCATTGTGACCACACTAATTAATAGATTTGAATATATAAGCTGAGAATAGAGGTGTGCTTTTACATGGATAAGCAGTGTGATTGTTTGGACTGAATTACATGTTTTCCCATATGCCTCAACTACCAGGTCTTGGAAGCTACTCTCTTTATTGGAGGTGTTAAGAGAATGGAGTGGACATCACTTAGAAATAACAGCATGGAGCCAGATGGACTAACGACCTAATGCATGTTCATGGGTCCAGCTTCACTTGTTATACTCTTCCTTTCTCTCCTTCTTTGAACAAATAAATCGTTCAGGTATCACACTTTTTAAAGTTTTAGCGCTACCACTTTATGATAGTGTTTCATTTCCCACTCAAAATGAATGAATGTTAATGGAGAGAGGGAGAATGCTTCTATATACTCCATTTAGGATCAATCTAACACCAGGATGCTCCATGAGCTGAATATCAGCCCACTGCTGTAGAATCCTCCATTCGGTGTATTTATTGTTTTGTCTGAAAAAAGGTCTCTTTGGTATCCCAACGTCTTTTTAAAAAAGATTTGAAAGAATGGTTTGGCTGTTTGAGAGTGACAGACATCATTAATCTCTAAAAACAAAATTTTCATTAAAAGTTGTGAGAATGCAGCTGAAGGCCGGATTGGCACGTATTTGTCACAATAAGAGCTAAAATCACCATTGGCATGACAAATGGTAACTCATTATGGTTGGCCAGGAAAACAAACATACTCTTGGTTGTTCAGCCTTTTTCCATCAAGTAGATAAACTAAGTTTGATGGTACAGTAACAGAACAGACAACTGTTTTCTTCCCCACATTGCGGGAGGTCAGTTTGCCAGTTCGCGGAAAGTAAGATCCCAGTTGGACTAAGAATAAAATAGAATATAGGATGAGCAGAGCATATATTTCAAAAGATTAAGTAAATTCAAAGCATAGAATAGTATGTTTCATATAAAATATAGAGTTCAAGTCATGTACACAAATGTCAGGTGTTGTTGATATATAAGAATTGGACATAAACTCACTTCTGTTCTCATTATTCCTCTTTCTACATCTTAATTCTTTTTTAAAAAAGTAAAATCCCAGTGATATTTCAAATCAAGTATTTAATTATGTAAGTAAGTAAGGTCCGCATAGTCAAAGCTATGGTTTTTCCAGTAGTGATGAATGGAAGTGAGAGCTGGACCATAAAGAAGGCTGACCGCCGAAGAATTGATGCTCTTGAATTGTGGTGCTGGAGGAGACCCTTGAGAGTCCCCTGGACTGCAAAGAGAACAAACCTATCCATTTTGAAGGAAATCAACACTGAGTGCTCACTGGAATGACAGATCCTGAAGCTGAGGCTCCAATACTTTGATGTTGGGAAAGTGTGAGGGGAAGAGAAGAAGGGAACGACAGAGGGCGAGATGGATGGATATTGTCGCCGAAGCGACCAACATGAATTTGACTCAACTCCGGGAGGCGGTGGAAGACAGGAGGGCCTGGTGTGCTCTGGTTCATGGGGTCACGAAGAGTCGGACACAACTTAACAACTAAACAACAACAACAAAGTAAGTAATATACCACCCCATTAGCGCTAGGCACTATTCTGGGTAATAAACAAATCACGCAATCGAAGAAACAATGGAGACACAGGAGGCAACAATACAATCATAAAAGAATGAAAAAAGGGAGACCAGAGTATCATAAATCTCCAGCAGCACAGCATTTGCATAATCATACATAACAGGACATTTTGCATCACCTTCATGATGTCAGTGAGAGGAACTGCAACCAGGCCTGAGATCAATCTAGTTCAAATCCTTGCACTTTCGAGGGCATTTGGACACAGGAAGGTGACTTCTATGGAGTCAGACACATGATCCATCTAGCACAGTGGTCCCCAACCATAGGTTCCCAGATGTCCTTGGACTACAACTCACAAAACTCCTCGCCATCACAGGTAGTGGTGAAGGCTTCTGGGAGTTTTAGTCCAAGAACATCTGGAGCCCCAAGGT